GCTTTTGCCACTGAGCCATCTCCCTGGCCCTCCCCTGAATTTTAATTACAAAGAATCCTCATAACCCAGTTTCTCTCAAAGTCCCAAGTAATTTACCTCAAAAGGAGCTAGAGGAGGAGGAGGCAAACTCGTAATTTTGGCAGATCTTTCTTTTTCTACAAGCAATGCTTCCTTCCGAGCTTTTATATGCCTTAAAAACAAAGAAATATCAGTTAATCTCTCAGATACATTCTTTGTGTTACAACACGGAGCCAACAGAATTTCTAGGAGTCCTCTAGTCTGATCCCACAAACATAGTAAGTAATTTAATAAAGAGTCTAAGCTAACCATCATGGTGTATGCTTGTCATGTCAGCACTGTGGGAGGCTGAGGCAGGAGAATCACATGTGTGAGCCCAGCCTGGGTAACTGACTGAGACAATGTCACAAAATAAAGAGTACAAATTTGGGTGTGGTGCAATGTGAACACCCTGGGTTTAATCCCAGTAGTCCCCCAAAAAAGAAAAAAAAAGAAGAATCTATGTATAGTAGACACGATGCAAGGCAATGTTTATCAGTTCTAAGAGACATATCTAAAACTATAAAGCTCCATAGTGGGGACCAACCAAGCAAAACACCTAATGCTCTTCAGAGCAGTTCAGTGTCAAAAAGAAATGTTGGAAGAGACAAGCCACTGTACAAAATGACCACTGCTGACCCATAAGAGGCACTTTAATTTTTATACTATGCAAAAAACACTACGACTTCCAGAGTCTACAAACCTCTTTTAATGTTCTAAACTACATTAATATCTTTTTCTTGCATGAGAAGTTCTGACATGAACTGTGACATCTATACATTGTTCCACAAACTTAGTAATTGCCTCTAACCTCAGCATGTCCAGACTCCAATTAAAGAAAGCTCGGTTATTATTTCATCTAAGCAAAACACTCTCCCCTGGATTATTTTTAAGCCCAGTTTAACGAAATGCAATGGATATACCGTACAACTTGGATAATAACCGCTCATACAGGACGCTACGCATCCTTCACTTCCAGCCATATTAGTTTCAGCTAGGAATGTGGCAAAATAATTACCAGTTTCTTTGTTTCATTAATATTTCTTTTTGATTTTTCTGTATTTTCAAGGCTTCTTTATGCCTCATTTCTGCTTTTCTTTTCCTTTCTGCTGTCTGCTGTGCCAGAGCATCCAAATCAGGTTCCTAAAAATAGATGTAAGTGAAAATGTCAGGTTGAACAAAACTTCTGGAAATGCATTTTCTTTAATGTCTGAACAGAGGTGACTTCCATTTCGTCAGCTCTTCCTACATGCTACAGCAGTATTTGCCGAAGTACAGTAAGGATACCTTAACCAATATATTAGGAGGGCCAAAATAAGAAGACTTAATGTAATTACTTAGTAGCATTATAAAAACAAAGAGAATATCATACTTAGAATATAGTTAACTTAAGGAATAAATGAATCCACTTAACTAAAATCTCACAGTGATTCTGGTGGGTCTCTTTTTTCAGCTACCGCAAAAACCATGAAAGTTGGGTAAAACTGCACGAAAGCATAAAGTTAATGGTGATACACATATAAAACTATTGGGGCCAGTGAGATAGCTCAGTGTTCTAAAGCACCTGCTTAGGCAACTGCAGGGACCACAGTTAGATTCCCGTGCCACACGCCATACCAGCCATGTGAGCCATGCCCCCTCGGGCAGGCTAAGCTAGCCACAAAAAAATAAAAAAAAAACCCCAAACTATAAAAATCTAATGTCAGAACTTGAAGGTATTTCTAAAAATGTAAACTAACACCAGAACAAAAAAACAGGCTGCGAGATGAGATGTAGACATTTCTTTTCCTAACTCATTATCAAAGGTTTATTTTCTTCGACATTGGTCTGTTTACCGTTTGAGTCTAGGACTATAAACTGTTGTTTTCTGACTGTAAATCACATCAAAATAAATCAGGGAACAGTTTTAAATCCTGAGTTGGTTCCACTTTGCCTTCCTGGAAGTCAACAAAGAAAAAAAAGTAAATATATGTAGATAAAAAATCATAGAAGTTGAGAGGTATTGGGAATGATGCTCAAATGGGAAATTTGAATTCTCCCTCCTGAGTCTATCCAAAATGTCTGAAATAATGATTTAAAAGGTTATCTGATTTATGTAGGTAAATAAGAACTAGAAAAGGATAATGCAAATTTAAATGTCATAGGAAGAGCAATTGTACTCGGCATGAGTTACTAGGAAATGAACATACTGTGATTCTCAAATTATATTAAATAAATAAAAAAAAAAAGCCCAGGCAGTCCAAAACAAATACTATACACAAAAATAGCTTTATTATGTAAGAATTCAACAAATAAAATTTAAGAATATTAGTAGACTGGGTGTGGTGGCACATGCCTGTAAGCCCAGCACTGGGGAGGCTGAGGCAAGAGGATCACGATGAGTCTGAACTGCATGCGAGATCCCATACCAAATACATAAAAAAAAAAAATTACTGCTACAATCATGTAGTCTGGTGGCTCTTACTCACATTTTCTTTGGCCTGCCGATGTCCCTCTCCCATACTTTTTAAACTTGCCAAATAAAGTTTTTCCAAGTTCTGTATTTTCTGAGTTTGTGATTCTTTCCATTCTGCCCTTAGCTCCTCGGCCAAACGAGCAAACTGCTGATTTCTCCTTTGCTTTATGTCTTCTCTTATCTGTAAGGCGATATCCCTTTCTTGTTCACGAACCTGAGGAATATTTAACAGATCACATGAAAGGAGGCTTGAACTTTTTTTGAAAATATTTGGAAATAGAAAATTGCATTCTCTTTACCTCTATCATATGTTCTGAATATTTACCTCATATTAGATAAGGACTAAAGAAAGCAAAATTATCTAAATGATATAGAAAAAACAATCTCAGGATGAGGATATAGTTCAGTGGTAGTGTTTTCTAGTATATGCAAAGCCATAGGTTAGCTCTTCACTGAAAACAAAACAAAAATTCCCAAACTGACTCAGAGCGCAGGCCCTGCGAGTGAGTGAGATGACCGGAGCCGCGGGATCTTGAATAGACCCAGAGTGCAGGCCCAGCGAGTGAGTGAGACGACCTGGGGCCCTCCGGATCCTGAAGAGACCTAGAGCACAGGCCTGGCGAGTGAGTGAGTGAGACGACCCGGGCCACGGGACCCGGACCGTGGGATCCTGATTAGACCAGGAGCGCAGTCCCGGGGACCCGGGGCCCACGGATCCTCACTCGACCCAGGCTGTAGGCCCAGCAGGGAACCCTTCAGCAGAACTCCCTGCAAAGAGGCTAGAGGCAAGACCCACCCAGCT